AGCAAGCACCCAATGATAAATGTAAACATATTGTATATCTAAAATGTACCAATAAAATAACTTAAGGAAAAAAAATATATATTTAGCAGTTAAATAATTTGGATTAAATAAAACAATCTTGATACAGGACTGATAATTGAGTAAAAGTACTTTTTGGATCAGATTGTATTATTAAGTTTTAATTTCTGACAGTTCAAGTTTCTTAAATTCTTGAGAAATGCTGGTGGAAATATTTATTAACTTTATTTAAAGTGCTTCAAAAATTTTAATGAAAGTATTACATAAACATTTAATATTTTGAATCAATTCATCTGTTATCCATCTGCAAGATCCATGAAAATTAAAATTTTAAAATTCCGATCGAGATTTTAATCCTTGATTTATAAACTTTATTTTCTTCCACCTCCAAAAGCCTTTGACTCTTCAGTTTTAACTAGACAGTTTACTTAACCTGGTCAGAGTACTGAAATCTCCCAAGGACTCCTAAATGTTATTGCAGAAGATTATATGACTTCTCTCGTTTTAAAATATTGAAATTCCAAGAAAAATTTTCTGCACCCACCTAGAATTCACGTTAAACCCTGAAAAGCAATTCATTTCTGTATGTACTCAGGATTGCAAAAAGATTTTTTTCTTTAAGGAGCAAATGAAAAATTACCTACTGTATAGCAGTTACTTATTTGAAAATTTACCAAAGATAATTATACTATATACAATTTCTCTGTAATGAACACAACGTATTAAGAAATATCAAATTGGTAATATAGTAAATAATTATATTATTTCTGGGGTTTGGAGACAAGTATAATTGCCATATAATACTATATATGTGCATTGATTATAATTTTGACAAATGTAAACTTACATAAACATTATTTGAAACAGGATCTAGAACAGTACTACATAGCAATACTTCTGAAATGAAATTTTCTGTAACTACACAGTCCAATTGGGTAGCCATAGCCACATGTGGCAGTCAAGCACTTAAAATGCAGCTAATGTGGCTGTGAAAGAAAAATTTAACTTTAATTTACAAACATTTTAATTAGCAACGTGTAGCTGGTGATTATTAACTTGGAGAGTGTAGAACATTTCCAACACCCAAGAAGTTTCCTCATGATTTTTCCAGGAAATCCTACCTCACTGACCCTACCATCATGGGAAAATAGTAATCATAGATCAGTTTTTCTTGTTCTTGGACTTCATATATGTGGATTCATTCTCTTTGCCTGCCTTGTTCCCACTAGTACTGGGGACTGAACTGAGGTTCTCTGCACTGAGCTACAACCCCAGGCCTTTTTTTGAGCTGGGGTATCATTAAAATTGTCCAAGCTGGGCTGGAACATGTGATCCCTTTGCCTCAGCCTCCCAAGGTGCTGGGATTACAGGCATGCACCACCATACCCAGCTCTGCCTGGCTTCTGTTGCTGAGCATGTTTTTCAGATTTACTCTTACTTTTTTGTGTGTATTAGTAGTCTTCCTTTTAATTGCTCAATAGTATTCCACTGTATGAATGTATCATTTTTTTTTTTTTGTATCCTCCTACTGATCAACATTTTGGTCATTTTCAGGCATTTGGTTTTAATGTTGTAAATATTGTATTTGATGCTCTGAACTAATTTAAAGTATTTATGTATGTATTATGAAAAGAATTTCCTTTGATATTGAACAAAGAGATAGTCAACTTGTTTCAATTATTACCTTTCTGTGCTGGGGTGAAAATTCAATTCCAAGATACAAAATTTCATAATATATAAAATTTTCTTGACATTTAGGATAGCTGAGCAATTGGCTGGTTTTTATTAAAGAAAACACAATTAGAAGGACAACAAAAATTTACTGTACTGATTTCAAAACCAAAATATATTTCAGGTGGGGGTGGATCTGTTAGGGGTTCTCTAGAGAACAGTAGCAACTTATGTAGGTTTTTTTGTATGTGTGCTGGGTATTGAATCCCAGCTCCTATATAGTTTGAATTACTTTTGCCTCTTTCATTCTCTTGCCATCATTACACATCTACAGAATTTCAGGCCCAGTGAAGGCAATTAGTAATCTAGTAGTCTAATTTTCAAGTGCTCTGCATAAGTGCTTAATGAATACTCATAGAAATAAAACCATTAATTTCACATGGGGACTAAGAGTCTATGTGTTTCTCTCAATTGAACAAAACAAATATTCTAATCAAATGAAAAAATTTTAAAAAATGAGATTTTACTTTATTTTGGTACCCAGAATGGAACTCAGGACCTTGCTCAGGCAGCCACAACGCTGCTGAGCTACATACTCAGTGAGATTTCTACTTTATTAAAGAGTTGACCACAAATTCAAATCAGCAGTCACAGAACATATTAATTTTCAAAACTCTGTTACACAGTATTTGGGACAAGACTACGGCATATCTGTATTTTATCTTTTCTTATGCACCTTTTGTTTTTCAGGCACCAATACTGAAATATATCCTTGAAAATGCAGTAAGGAAATACTCTAGTACATAATACTGAAGAGGAAATTTACCCCTAGTAATGTGCTATAGTAATTTATAAAGTTTATAATCCATACACATATAGTCAGAGCTTTGTATTTTTCTTCAAGAGGTTCAGATACAAATGTGTTAATCTATTTTTCTGCCAATAATTCTACTCCCAGAGCAAAAACAAGTTCAAAGGACACATTAAACTCACAGGAAAAAATTAACTTTGGCATTTTAAAGATCAGAAGTATGCTGCTACCTTTCAGGTATGCAGAAAATAATTACTGTACTGGCAGTTTATTGAATTTATCAAGGAACATATGATACTTTTTGGTTAGGTTATCTTTCAGCCCACAGTGTTTTGCATTGTAATAACTACTAGAGCAGCCCAATACTGCTGGGTCTTTTCTGTGACTTAAGAAATACATGTAAAATACATATGAAGATACAACTATCTAGCTTTATAAAATGACTCAAAAGGAGATCCTACCAAAACCAAGTACAGGCAAATAGTTTTCTTGGTCTGTTTATAACTAATTATAATTATAAAACAGTATATGTATATACAGTCTACAATATTTTTTATTCTAAAGCTTGGATTCATAGCTTGGTTATTTGATGTGATGTGAACATTGAAATATTTATATTATATTAATCTCACTATGATTAGAAATCAGACCACTACCTTAAAATGGGAAAATATTCTAAATTCTAACTTTACAAAAAATTTATCTATTCCTAACTCAGGAAAAGAGCAAACCATTAAGCAGGTAAAAATGTATTTAACCAGCTTAAAATCTATGGTATAATACCCTATCACAAAGGTCACACTTTTTCTAAGGGACAGTCCCTCAAATTACCTACTGACATTCAAAATAGTTCTGCACATGCTTCATTATGTGGTTTTCTTGCCAGCAGATTAAAAGCAGTAAATTAAAAGGGAGGGGAGGATAAAAGAACTATGTTCATTGACAGCAATAAGAAGCAACAGCTGACAGTGAGGCGACAGGCAAACTAAAACAGACAAAAGAACTAAAAAAGCAAAGCTATCTATTCAGAACCATGTAGTGTGAGGAAGCAGCCCTAATATCATTGTAGAAACAGAGAACTTTATTGGTAAATGTAAACTGAAATTGCTAAATTTGAAGTTTAACTGCTGTTGGCCACCGCTTTGTCATTGGTCTATCTCAGTGGATCATGAAACCTAACTTTTAGCACTGTGCACTGTTACACTGTAACTCACTGTTGTTTTAAGAACATTTATAAACCATACCAAAGGCAACAATATTACTGTCTTAAATCATTTCAGTAGTTGGTTTTAAAATGAATTCATCACGTATTTCATGACAGCGGTAAAATATAACCATTGACTTTTAAAACTTTGTTTTTTGTTTTCTCCTAAAATGAGAATATTACCTACCTAACAGTGTAGTCAGGATTAAACAAGATAATGTATATAAAACACTTTGGTAGCACAAAGTCTAGGGCACAGAAAAAAGAGCTCAGTATTATTTTAGCACTGGTGAACTCATGCCAACAGAAATCCCTTATTTGCAGATGCAAAAATTAAGCCTCAAGAGAATTGACTTCCTAAGGCTCTACTTGTAACACGTTATTGTCTTGGATAAGCTGCTTAACGGCAAATGTTGGAGATTTTGGGTATTGGCAGGGCCCAGGGGCACGTGCCCGCTGGACTCCAGTGTGCAGAGAAATGGACAAAAATGTTTGAACCATTAAGTTATAGAGTCTGATTTATCAACGGATGTTCGAGATGTCAGGTTGTGTGCCATTCGTTCCTGTCTCCGTGTAGAACAGTAAGACCCTCAGCTACAGTGGTTGTCAAATATGAGGTGAGAGTGAGGTTAACAGGTTGTAAGATTTAGCTCAAACCCCAGTTTGGTCAACTTTATGAGCGATGAACACTTTACTTAAGGGCCAGGGCCGAAAATAACGGGGAAGTAGACGCTAACAGGATGGTATCCCAGGCAGGTGTAAGTTATCCCACCCTTACACGCCCTTGGTTGAAGGGGACCGCCATGGGTTTTGTCATCCTCCCGGGAAGAGCAAATGGACCTACACCTCTGCGCCACGCCGCGGCGGGACCGTGGGAGGCCGCTCGGCCGCCCACGCGCGCGCCGGGCTCGCCTTCTCTAAAATGGCGGCGGAGGCAGCTCTCACGCCCCGCCGCCGCCTGCGCTTCCCGAAGTCTGGCTTCAGAAGGTGGGAATAGGCTACAGAGAAACAGAAAGGATAGCAGCTCCGAGCCTCCAGTCCGAGGAAGGTCCCAAACAGTCTGAGAAAGGGGTAAGCCAGGAGGAACAGGCGATCAGACCACCATCACCAACACTTCAGATAGGAAAGAGCAGCAGCACATCCGGGCCCTCCGCCGGGCCCTCCCCGGAAGTGACGTTTCTGGCAGGGTGGGGCGACAGCTGTTCTTCACAGTAGATTCTTCCCCCGCCATAACTCATCTCTTCATGAAGTCCCTGGAATCGCCCTCACTTCCCCCTCCCCTGGGTTAGCCATTACCCTCTCATGGCTCTGGGGCTTCTTGGCTCACAGCTGGCTGCTGGGACAGGCAGCTCCCGTTCATTCAAAATATCCCTCGTACCACCACGGTAAATTCTCCTCAGCTTCGCCAGCGTGCGTACTCGTTCCTCCAAGAGGTCTCTCAGTGACCTCAGCCCTCGCCAAACCTAAGCGCACCTCTGCGGATCCCGACGTCGGGATCCTGTCCCGCCCGGGTTCGGAGGCTGTCCGTCAGTCACAGCGCTGAGCCCGCCTCTTCCGGCCGCTCGGCCGGGTCCGCCTTCTCCCCTCTTCCCTCCCTCACCCCTCCCCTCGCGAGTGTCTCCCTCTCCCTCTCGTCCCTCTCTCTCCCTCTCTCTCTCTTTTGTGAGTTATAGCAACCGTTGCCTTGTGAATCAAGCGCCATAGTCACCGTAGTCCTGGCGACTGTTACCCATCAACAACAACTACTCCTCTCCTCCTCCTCCTCCTCCTCTTCCTCCTCCTCCTCCTCCCCACCACCACCATCTCCATCACCCACCAACAACACCACAATAATCCACAGCCAAGGTGAATATTCTTCGGTCTCTACATGTGTGTGGGAGCGTGTGGATGCGTGTGAACGCGTGTGTCCGTGTGTGTGTGTTCGTGTGCGCGAGCGGAGCGCGGCTGTGCGGGGTCTCCCTCCTGACACCGGGCTGCGCGGCGGCGCGGCGGGGCTCGGTCCTGCTTGTTTACAATGGACCCCGCGCCGCGCTGGGGGTGTGGGCGCCGCGCTGCCTGCCCGCTGCCGGCTCCGGCCGCGCTGAAGGGATGGAGCGGGAGCGCGGGGGCCGCGAGCGGAGCTGAGCCGAGCGGGAGCCGCAGTTCCCGGCGCGGATGCTGGAGCTCTCCTGTAGGTCTGGTCTGAAGAGGAGGGTCAGGTGAAGAGATGAGGGTTTTTCTTTCTTTAATTTTCCTCTTTTTCAAAAGCTGCTTGTTTCCTGCTTCTTTCAGAACAGGAATGGACAAGAGCGTTGGGAGGTGGGCAAGAGGTGGCGTTTTGTTGTTGTTGTTGTTCACTTGTGGGGCCTTGTTGTGGGTTTTGTTATTTTTTTCCCCTCGTACATCGGTGAACTTTTCCCACCTCCTCTTTCCTTCATTTTTGCCCCGCTTTGCCTGGTTCTAAATGGGCTGCTCTTCTTTGACCACCATCAGCTGCACGATTTGCTTTTCTTTTTTCTTTCAAAACTGTATTTTCTTTGTGCTGCAAACAGTCTTAATATCCATTCAGTACTCTTCCCTCCCCCCTTTACCCCCTTGCGCGCGCGCGCGCGCGCACACACACACACACACACACACCACACACACACACACACACCAGGGGCCTCTTCCTTGGGCTCTGTTGCACTGGGAAAGACATTTTTTCCTAAAGTCAGTCCCTCTGTTTCTCTCCCCTTTTTGGTGTGTGTGCGCTTGTGATTTAAACCGGATGCTGGGCATCTGTGATACTTGGGTTAGTAGTTATTGACAGTGCTTTCTCCTTCTTGTGGAGATGGGAGGGGTAGTAGTGAGGTTTCTTTTCACTTTGATGAACCTCCCTCCCACAGGAGAGTATTAACAATTTTCATTGTGATTATGAGACTTTGTGATGAACTGGAAAGGGACTCAAGGAAGCTTTGTGAGAACTCAGTTCAGTGTTATTTGTGACAGTTATGGTACTTCAAGAGTTTTTTTTTTTCTTCTCTGTTCCTTTCCATTTGAGAGTTGAAATTGAAGTCAAGTTGTTCATAAAGAATGCATGAAGCTTCTCAACTTGAAACGTGTGTATATTTCACTTTCTTTGTGGTTAAGATCTAGACGTGTGTACTTAACATATTCCTTTTATTTACTTTTTGGTTTTCTTTGGACAGTGGCTTAAACCTGCTCGGAAGAGAGATTCCTCTTTATGGCTCTGTTAATATTTTTCTGTGCAGTTTTGAATACCTATTAGTCCTCAAGTAGTAGAGTTCTTGATTAGAGCTAACCTAGTTTTACAGATCCCTCAATTTTGTTTATTTTCAGCCAAACTTAATTAATAGATTATCTGTAAAGGGTTTTGATAATGAATGTGTGCTAAAACAAGTATAATGTACCATTATAGTCGCACATATTGAAGTTTCTGAGTTAGATTTTAAAAATACTTGGGCTTTTTTAATCACAGCAAGCATATTGATTTAACTGACAGTATAGCCTGTGAAAAATGTGACAGTATTAATTATTCTTGAGATTGTCAATGAGTAGGTTGGGTAATTATAATGCTATTAAGGCTAATATTTTGTAAAATAAGAGTTGGGGGTTTAATCTTTTCTTGTGATTTCTATGCTGAAAACACTCAGATTTCTTTATAATTATTCACCCCTCCACAACCTGAATTTCGTGCAAATCTCTAATACTAACTTGTATTTTTTTTCCCTGTTCAGATAAATGTCAAATGCTCAAACACGTTTGAATGGTGAAGCTCCAGGGTCCTATAAACTCTCTGAAGTTAATAGGAGTTTTGCTGTCTTGGGACAGTTTTAGATCTTATGCCATTTAAGTAACTTTTCATTCAGATAGGTTATATATGCTATAATGTTATGGTTTAACGTGTTTATTTGCAGTGCCCAGGAACTTTTTGAGGCATTTCACTCTCTACCTACCTATATACCTACCTACCTCAGGTTTTCTAAAATTTACCTTTTTGTTCACAGGTTGATTTTAGAACAGTACTTTACTTATTCTTACAAATGTATATGTGGTGTAAAAATTGTTAGAGATACTTTGGGCTTAGGTAAATTGAAATTATTCATACGGATTGACTAATAAACAGAAATACTAACAAATGATATTTAAAATTAAATATAAGGACAAGTACTTAGTATTTAGTTAATTCTTTCTGTAATATTTTTCCTAGGGAGGACTGTTCTGTATTGGTATTCTTTGTTTTCATTTTTAGACTAATAGAAATCCGTGAAAGTGATCATGCTTTGAAACTAAAACTCTTCAATAGTAACTTGTTTTGAGTAGCTGAATGCCTGTGATTTGATGTATGTTATAATGCCTGTTTCAGACTTTTTGGATGTTTTGCCTGTGAATTATATTAAACAATATAGAGTATAGGTATAGGGTTTATGGTGCAGGATAGGGTAAATTATACCTTTACACTTCTTTGAAGGTTTGTAATCATTTCAGTGTTTTCATTACATAGAAATAGTTATGCCTAATTTCCAAAATATGGTATTATTCTTCCGGTATTCAAGTAGTCATGTATTCTACTTAGACACTTAAATAAAAAAGGTTTGTAGCTTATAAGCTTAAGTTACTTTAACCTTAAAGAATTCTTTTTACTTTGAACAAATTTATTGTGGTAAATTCTTTACCATTAAAATGCTAGCTAAAATGAATGAATCTTAAATCCAGATAGGTTCCTTGCATTGTTTGATAATATGCTACTTTTGTGTAACATTTTTTATTATTGAGTAAGTTGGTGTTGTGTGTGCATTCTTCTCAGCTTCCAGCTTAAGAAATCAGTAGGTGAACTATAATCATTATGCTTTTCAAAATTTAAAGTGTGGTGTATCTGTATGTTTAAAAGATGAATGTAGTATCAGATGTGTGAGATGAGTTACATTTTTTCCTAACACTCTAATAGAAATGTTACTTTCTATTTGATATCTTTTGTGAGAATGTTACCAGAAACGTGGTTACCAAACAAGTAAACTTCTTAATTATGAAGAGTCTGCTGTTTATTTTGTTTTTATGCTGAGCACTGGCTAAATATCCTTTATTTGGTCTTAGTTACTTTCAAAATGATTTTCTGGACTAAATTGCTTGCCTTTATTAACTCTTTAGTATATGTTCCCAGGGCCACTGCAAAGTGGGTTTTTAATTCCACTCTGTTCACAGGTGCATAGTGTTCCCATATTTTGGAAATCCTAGATTAAGTGGATTTGACTAAATCTAGCTCTTTAGAGACAGATGGCTGCTTTAAACAGGTGTCACTTTCATTTTTACTGCTTTGTGTTGGGACTTCCAGTGGTTTACAAAAGGGCTGTCTAAAGCAGGTGGCATCCTTTGCTTTTGTCCTTAGTAAGATCTTTTAGAGTTAATTATTTTTCTAGGTTTTTTTTTTTTTAAGTAAAAGTTTTGAAGAATTAATCTTTGAACTACTCCACATTTGTCATTTAACCAACATAGCTTTTATTTCTGAATATCACTGTACTTTCAAACTGTAGAACTTGCAGATCCTTTCACAAAACACTTAATTCTTGCAAAAAAAAAAGATAAATTCTCTTTGAATCCAGAAAAAGTTTATAGCAGCAGTTTACTCAGCTCAAGAGTCAAATTTATGTGAAGCAAAAAACCAAGGCAAATTTGAATAAAGTGAAATCTGGCTAACATGACAAACTCTTCCATCCCTTACTTAAAGAATTTCTTTAACAGCATTATTTTAACCTGAGTGATATATGTTGAAAACTGGTTTTATTTTTTGTTGGTTCAGTATTTTAAAACTACTTCAATTGCTGCTATAAAATTTATAGGGATTTTTAAAAATTGAAATTGTTTTTAAGCATTAGTGTTTAAAAATATGCACTGGAGTAAATAAAAGGGTATAAACCTATTGATTTCTAAGGTTTATTTTTACTCCATGCCTCTTTCTTTCTTTGTGGGGATTTTATACATCTTATAACAGATGCACCAGAGGGTGCTGTGCTGTTTTCATGAAATTATTATCACTAAAAATGTGAACTGATTGTAACTGTTACTTAAAGAAAAATTTTAATTATCTATGCATTCAAGCATATAATAACCTTATTTGTATGGAATTTAAGTTTTTAATATACTGTCTTAATTGGAAGTTTTATATCAAAGCCTTTCCCTATACTTAGATAATATGTATTAGCACAACATAGAACAGTATCAAGATTGATATCGATCATCTTATCCAGGTATTTCAAGCTCTATCAAAAATAAATTTAAGTTGAAAATCATACCTTTGGCAATATGGCATTTTATTCTTGAATATGACATTGTTCACATATACTACTGTGTTGTACTTCTTATAACTTTATATAGCATAGTGATATTCTTATGGTATAATCTATAAAAAACCACATCTGAAAAGCATAAATGCTTATAGTAGTTATCAGCCTGATTAATCAGCAATAATAAGATAATTTAGTTTCTATTTCCTGCTGTTAGAGTAGTCTGGTTTGGTTTTTTTGTTTTTTTGTTTTTGTACAGGGTTTGAACTCGGGACCTTGCACTTGGGAGGCAGGCGGC